TTATCTCTGGGCTTTCTATTCTGTTCCATTGATCTATATTTCTGTCTTTGTGCCAGTACCATACTGTCTTGATGACTGTGGCTTTGTAGTATAGTCTGAAGTCAGGCAGATTGATTCCTCCAGCTCCATTCTTCTTTCTCAGGATTACTTTGGCTATTGGAGGTTTTTTGTATTTCCATACTAATTGTGAAATTATTTGTTCTAGTTCTGTGAAAAATACCGTTGGTAGTTTGATAGGGATTGCATTGAATCTATAGATTGCTTTGGGTAGTATAGCCATTTTGACAATATTAATTCTTCCAATCCATGAACACGGTATATTTCTCCATCTGTTTGTGTCCTCTTTGATTTCTTTCATCAGTTACACACAAATTCAGAGAATAAAAGCCATGTAAGAACTGTGAAATTTCTTTGGATGCCCTTTCATTCCCATACAAGTTTTCCTTGTAGAAGTGTCAGAGTTTTAAGATGACTCAAATGTTCATAAATAGTTGAAACTGTAGTGATTCAATTATTTGGTCAGACAACCAGTCAACCCAGTATTTATTGACTGCATGATGCCAAGCTCCGATGTTGGCATAGAGGGTTCTGTTGTAAACTAGGAGTCAAGGTCATTACACCCCACAGAGTTTATAGCCTGGTAAAGAATACAAACAAATAATCTAAGGAATTAATTCACCGTGATGAGTGCTTTAACGGAACAGGTTCAAAGTTCAAAAGTTCAAACCAGATGTGTCAGGGAAGACTTTTCAGAAGAAATGATACATAAGCTTGGAGTAGGATAATGAGGTAAAGATGCCACAGATCCAAAGAAATGGAGGAGGGGAATGATAATGTTCTTGTTGACTGAGATATGAGACTGTGAGGGGCAAGAGGAAACCTGACTTGTCTCAGAGGAATTGACTGTTCCTCTGAATGTACTGCTGAAATACAAAGTAGAAAAGAAGAATGTGAGTGGTGAGGCTATAGTGGTAGCAAAGGCCCAGGCAGAAAAGGTCTAATTGACCAGCTTACGGAGGTTATATCTTTGAGCTGTGAGGACCCATGAGAGTATTTAAAGCCATGACTGTGTTATGGAAGGAACATAATCCGATTTGTGTTTTTGAAAGCTCACTCAGGATACTTACTGTGTGGGAGAATAGGCTGGAGTGGAGCAAGAGGTAGGCGGGGAAACCACTTGGAGGTTTTTGAATTCTGTGAAGCCTCGTAGATTTGGGGATTGTCCTTCCTTTGATACCAAAATCTAAATACAATTGGATGAACATCCCCATCCCAGATAATCCAGGCTGGGATTATATTTTATTCACAGCAGTCCATTCTTCTCACTCAGAATTTCTGCTTCTGAGTCAGAGCTTAATCCATTATCCCCCACCACCACCACCCCCCGCCCTCCTCAGGTTCTGGAGCTGATGGTTTGCCTCCACCATGTGAGCCAGCGCCTCATCCTTCATTTCCCTGAGGAAAAACTAACACAAGACTGTTCCGTGTAACAGATTAATACTGAGGTTTGGGGGTGGAAAGAAGGATGATTAGCACAAAGTAAAGGAAGCACTTTTTAGTGTTTATCAGATGTTACAGCAAATATTTTACTGACCTCTTTCACCTTAGGCCTCAGCCTGCTGCTGTTTCCTGGGACCCACTCTCAGTTTGGGGGAGTTCTGTGTTTCCTCTGTCCCTTCCATCCCGTGCCTCCTCCCTTCCAGGTTCTTAGTGGGGCCAAAGGCAGACTGGTTCTCTTGAAAGGCAGGTAGTAGAATGGGGGCCAGTGTTACAATAAGGCAGATCTCAGCTCAAAAAGGAAGGCCTTTGGTAATGAGTCCAAAATGTCCAATGATAAAACTGATCGTAAAGGTTACTTGAGCAATATATCATCAGCGAGTCAGATGACCACACTAGTCTGCTGGGCTAGATATGAATACTGAAGCATCTCTAGAGCCACCTGAGAACTGCTTCTGAGATTCAAGGACTCAATGCTCAGAAGCATGCTTTCCCCTTCATGGGAATAAATTGATCTCTTTTTGCAAAGGTAAGATTATATGAAACTCTAGTCTAAAAAGTCAAAACCAAAGCTGTTTTGATAGAAGCAGGGATGAGGCCCGGACTCCACCCAGGAGCTGGGTGTACTGCAGGGCTGTGTGGAGCACAGTTGGAAAGCACTGCAGTCTTCTGCCCTGGCATGCCCCTGCTGAAGGCAGCCAGGGCCTCATTTGATCAGCATTAAGCAGACTAGGCCCTCCCAGAGCCTTGGGCATGATGCTTCACTTTTCTTCATCTCATTAGGTTAAGATTTAATGACCCTGCCTAGTCCAGGTGCTACCAGTCCAGATTTCCAGATCCCTCAACTCAGAATCCAGATTTTAGTTCACATTCTTAGCATTGCCAAGACTAGAGACACTTAACTGATTTTGCATCAGCATCTGGTGAGCCCCTAGCATTGTCATCATAATTATTCTTCACATCTGTTAGCTCATGTGAAGTTGGTGGTACTAACCCGGACTTAGCTGAGTAAAAGGAGCACTAGAAAGGTGAGGTTATTATCATGCCGATAAATACAGAAAGTAGAGTTCATCTTTTTCTTGAGCTACTACAGAGAACTTCGGTGTACCACTGTAACTCTGAATGAAGAATAAAATACAACTCCCTGCTGTTGTAACATCCATCCCATTCTGTTTTCTCAGTTGATGTCCTAAGCATAGCAGAGGGTGAGTTTTCCCCACTTTACAGATGAGGAAACTAGTACTCAGAAAAGACAAACGAGTTACCTTGACTCACATACATAGTGAAAGTCAGGAGCAGAGAGATGGAACCCAGGCATCTATTTCTTGGATTGGACTCCTGTCCTTGTCTCAAAGTGGGACATTGCTATAAGCATCTCTCCTGAAAAATAGGAAGCTGAAACCTCACCTGCAGAAATGGGGTAGGATATGGTTTAGGTATCCTGGAAGCTCAGAGACTTCTCTCTTCAGGACCATTTCTAGGAAAGGGCTTCATCAGTTAAATTTCCAAATTTCATATGGATGAATAGCTGTCTCAGGCCAGATTTGACTGTTATCCCATAGTTTACCAAGCAGTTTTAGGTGAGAATTAGAAAGTAGTCCTGAAATCCTAAACAATCTCGCCAAAGAGGTCATAGTCTGTGCCTGGCAATTTCTTTGAATTAAGTGTCCATCAGAGGCCCGAAATGAATTCCAAGCATTATCTTAATACAGTCTTTTAAAAAAGCCACCAAGGACAGTGTGATGCGGTTCAGCACCCAAGACATCTCCCATAAACAGGGAATGCCGTGGCCAGATCTGACTTGATATGGGCAGAACCCAGCTCTGAGAGGGAGTCTGTTTCAGGTTTCGTAGAGCAGTGATTAGGGGCTGCTGCCTGCGGTTGGGCCGTGGCCGGGGTGTAGAAATGTCAGGGTGAGGTTCTCTTTACAAAGGCCTTCTTAGCCATTCTCTTTTGACGTTCACAAATGCTTTGGAAGAAAGGGGGCTCCCAAGTTATAGATGAGGAGACTAAGGTTCTGAGGAAAGCACCTTACCTGCTGAGTAGTAGAGTCAAATTCTGACCCAAATTCTGGGCTCTGTGCCCATGTTCTCACTACAGTACAACCGCAGCTTCCTTGGACTATTTCCATAAAACAAGGCAAATGTGAAAGAAGGGAGGGAACATAAGAGCAGGTCCTTTGCAGACAAGCCTTGAGCCAGGCATCAGGAAGCATTTCTGAGATGTCCTGCTGGCTGAGAGGGTCCACTTCTAAAGTGCCCTCATGTAAGCAAATGTATCTCTTCTTCAGCACTTTATCCCCTGCTCTAGCATCTTGTGTGTTAGGACAGACTCTTCTCAGAATAGCTTTCTTCTTTGTTTGTTTGTTTTTTTTTTAAGATTCTCTTTATCAGAAACAGCCTAACACATCCAGACCAGAAGAAAACTCAGAGACCGTGTAGTCTAAAGGGAAGAGTCTCTAAGGAGATCCAAGTCCAGAGGGTGGCGCTGGGCTTGACTAAGGCCACCTAGTGAGAGCCAGAGCCAGGGCTGGTGCACAGGCGGCCTGCAGCAGCCCAGAGCCCTCTGTTTTGCTGCCTCTTACTCCACCCAAATAGGCTCCTGGCAGCCAGCTCCCTGGCAGTTTTTCCAGACTAGTCCCTGTTCTAACTCTGGTTTTACTGTTTTCCAGGTGAGACCTTTGCCCTGGGAAATAGTCTGGCCCGGTCTTTGGAGCCACGCTCAGACTCAATGGACTCTACCTTGAATCCCACCAATCTTGTCAGCACTTCCCAAAACCTTCGAAATCCAGGGTACCGGCCTCTGCTTCCATCCTGCAGTCTCCCACTGGGCACTGCCTCAGCTGTGCGCAGGCTCTGCTCCAGGGGTAAGCCTTTCAGAGTTCTGGCTCTCCTGCCCTCTCTCATTCTTTTCTTCTTTCCTGCCTGAACCTTGGGAGGCCAGAAAGTACTTAACTCTGTTGCCCCCTCCACCTAAAGAGGTCAGACTGGGGCCTGGCCCCATTACACCTGACCAGGCACCTGGGGAGCAGCTGAAGCTCTGGGATTAGCTTGAGAACAGCAGGAACCAAAAGCCAACAACTCAGAGCCAAAGGGATGGGGAAGGAGCCCTTCTTTCATTCATGAGCCATTTATGTGAATACCACCTGTGTTTGTCAGGGGGACACAAAAATCAATCATTTCTTGTCCTTAAGGAGTTCAAAATCTTGTAGGAGACACAAACACTTAAATAGATGATAGTAAAATAACATCTAGAGTGTGGCTGCAGAGATGAGTTGTATGAAAACTGAAAGAAGGAACACCGCACTCAAGCTTGTTATCCAGGGTAAGCTTCCTTGAGAAAGTGTCTGAGGTTTTAAAGGTTGACTGTGTGAATGTATCAGGGGTAGTGGTAGATGGGGAAGAGCTTTCCAGGGAAGAGCATGCAGCATGGACAAGGGCAAAGGAATGAGAACTAACACAGATTGTACCAGCAAGTATATGCAGTTTGGTATTACTGAAAAACAAAGGGTAATTCTGGGGCTTCAAAGAGAAAATCCTGGAAGGGTCAGCGGTTATACCATAGAGGACCTTAAATGCCATGTTAAAGAGTTTGGGGTTGATCTTGTAACTAATGGGAAGCTCTGGAGACTTTCACTAGAGGCAAGACCTAAACAGGTTTGTGTTTCAAATAGGTCATTGACTACTGTGTTGAGGATGGATTTGAAAAAGACAAGACTAGAGAGACCGCTTAGTAGGTTACTAGAATGGGCTACATCCAAAATGATAAAGGCCTAGATTAGCAGTGTTAGAAGGTTTTCGAAGAGAGAATAGATGTGAAAACTCTTCATGAGGTAAATATAGTCAGATTTAAGAGTTGGGAGGAAGGAATGGGAATGTCGCCCAGGTTTCTAGAAGGGGTGATTAAATAGATGGTGCCATTCTCTGAGAGAGCGAACCAACCATAGAAGAGAAGGGGAAGGTGGGATACCCAGCAGGCAGTGGCCATGCAGGTCAGATCCTCAGGGAAGAGGACTGAAGTTACATATTTAGGAGTTAGTGGATAGAAGTTGAAGCTATAGAGTAAAATGACACCCACTTCCAAGAAGTTTGTGTAGAATGAAAAGAACAGTTGACCAAAGAAAGAGTTCTAGGAACCAACAAAGTTCAGGAGGAGGGAGCAAGAAGAGGATCCTACCAGGGGACAGAGGAGTAGTCAAATGTGAGGAAAAGCAGAAGAATTGGATGTTGTGGTGGCCATGGGTACTGTTTTAAGAGTATAACCCAAAAAGTTTCAGTAAAAGAAGGACTGAGAAATATCTACTGGAAATGGTGATTAGAGGGTAATTGATGATCTTAGTAAGTAAGAGCAGCTTCAGTGGTGCTGGAGGCTGGTGAGGGAGGTTTGCAGTGGGTAGACATATCAAGAAGAGTTTGATGAGGAAAAGAAGGAGGTGACAAAGAAGGTCTTCTCGAGTGGGTGCATGCTGGGCATGTTTGTCAGCAGACAGCCTGAGCCTTCCAGGAAGAAGAACTTCAGAATATAGGAAAGAGGAGAAATAAAGGCCGTGGAGGTGTTGGGAAAGATTAAGGGTCAGTCTTATGACAGAAGAAGGCAAACCTTTCTGAAACTGGAAAAAGCCTGTGGCCATGAGTGAATGGAGAGAGGGCTGAGCAGGGAGGGGCTTGGGAGTGCTGGGAGATTGAATGAGCCATAAAGAATACAGGAGAAATAGGTCAAGGAAGAGGGGATGGTTTGCAGAAACACCAAAGGTCCTGCAATGTTTGGAGCTTGGAGACCAGTTTGCAAGGGCTACGATTTTCTTCTTTGGTTCTTAGAAACCTACATGTGGGTGAGAAAAGACAGTTTGAGAGTTAAGGTTATATGTTGAGCTAGCAGGACAAGAGAGGGTGGGGAGCATGAGCGGTTTAGATCTTCAACACCGTCTCCAGACAGCGGGGATAGAAGCAGGGCTGAGAGATGGCTGAAGGATGGGGAGACTGTAAGTCTGATGTGCTAAAGGTCTTCATAATATAATGGTCATAGTGGACGTATGTCCCAAGAGAGTTGGAAAGGTGGGAGGCTGGGGTCAGAGAGGTGGGTGTTTAAAATTCTGAAGTGGATTTGTTCAAAGTGGTCCAAGAACTAGACAGTAATGTTGGTAGCGGGTATTTGAAGTAGAATAGCAATGAAAATCACTGGAAGCAAAGCAGTTGGATGAATTTCCTCTAAGGAATATGGCAGCAATTAGGATGGAACCGGAAGTTAGTGAGTTAAATACCCAAAAGTCTTCACTTTTGGGTAGAAGTGAAGTTTCACTTTCTACTTTCACAGAGTAGAAACCCAGAGATCTGTAAATGTATGTGATCAGAAAGAGCAGATGCTCAGTACATGTTTGGCCTCTGAAGAACACTAGCTTCTGTTGGAGGATGATCTAAAAGCAGCAATGGGGAGAAAGGAGAAAGCCATCTCCAAACCCACTGTGGCCTCCCCCAGCCCAGGGACAGATTAGGTGTGGAAGAATAAGAAGAGTCCATTAGCAAGGCCTGCAGGAGCAGAGGGGATTCTGGGGAAGGCTGAGACAGAGAAGCCCAGGATACTGCTTCCCAGCCCCAACCCCAACAAGGCCCCATATGAAGCCACATAAGGAGCTCTGAAGTAGAGTCCCTGCCTTGAGACTTAAGTCGCCTCAGCCTCAAGACAGACCTAGTCTTGTGGGGGAGGCAGAAAAATATACATGGAACCATTACATACAGTCATGCATTCATTTAGCAGTCATAGTTGAACATTGTGGCAGAGCAGGCACTTTTGTGTGCCGTGAAAGGAAAACACTCTCCTCCAGTGTGTCTCCTACGCTCAGTGCTCTGCTCAGCACTGCTTCGCTTCCCCCACCAGAAGTGCGGGTCTCCACGCACCAAGCAAGTCTGCCATGCCAGCTGGGCGTCCTGCAGTGTAACCCTGTTCTGACACTGACTCCCTGGAGGAAGCATCAGAGCCCACAATATGATGGTTCAGTCCCACAAGACTGACCACCCTCCAACTTCAGATGCCAGTTCAAAGTCCAGGTTGTTACCTGTGTCTCTGACTGGCTTCCATGATTCCTTTCAGCCCAGATGCTCCTGAAGCCCTGTCCTTGGGTTTTTATGGAGGCTTCATTATGTCAGCAAGATTGATTAAGTCGTTGGCCGTTGGTAATTGAACTGAATCTCTAGCCCCTCTCCCTTCCTTAAAGATTGGAAGGGGGCAGGACTGAAAGGTCCCAACTTCTAGTCACCTGATTGGTTCCCCTGACAACCAGCCCCCATCCTTACGACTTTACAGAAGTACCTCATTAACATATTCAGATGTGATTGACAGGGACTTGTTATGAGTAGCAAACAACACTCTGACCTCTTACCATGATCCAGAAGGTACCCCATCATCTGGGCCTTTCTGCCTCATCTCCTGGATGAGGCCTGGAATAGCAAATGACACTGACCTCTTAGGAGATTCCCAGGACTTTAAGTGCTGTGCCAGAAAAGAGAATGAACACAGATACATATGTTTCTTATTATTAATCACAGTATCACAAGAATTAACAGAGAACAGAAGACAGGTGATAAACATAAATGCATGAGATTGTTTTTAGGTCGTGATTGTTTTAGACTGGTTTGGGTTGATGAACTAGAGTAATTGGATAAAGAGTGATTATGTGGGGAATAGAGTACTTTTATTAGGATATCAGGGAAGGCCTCTCAGAGAAATCAGTATTTGAGATGAAACCCAAATATTGAGAAGGCATCAGGTATTCAAAGATGTGGGGAAAAGAACATTTTAGATGGCGGAAATTGTGTGTCTGGATCAAAGCATAAAAGCATAGCTTATTCAGGAAGCAGAAAGCCAGTGTGTCTGGAGCTTGATGAGTAAAGGGTAGGGGGAAGGGGGAGATGAGGCAGAAAGGGCCAGATGATAGGGTACCTTCTAGACCATGGTAAGGGGTTCAGCCTTATTTCAGGTATGCATTTTGAGGCTGTTGTATTGATTGACATGATCCAATTACTTTTTAAAAGTTGTTTTGACTGCTTTATGGAGAAGAGATTATTAGAATGATGTGTTGGGGGAAAGTGTGTAGAGATTGAGCTGTAACCAAGAGATATGTGAAATGCTTTTATGAGACCAGTTTTTTCAGGATGAAACCTGGAAAAGTTTCATAAAGGAGCTGATCCTTGAAGCCAGCTCTTGTTTAGTTAAGTTAGAGTCTGCCAGAAGGAAAGGAGAAACTGAAGGGCAAGAAGGGGGCACATTCCAGGCAGAGGGGATGAAGCCTGCCAGAGAGCCTGCAGGTGATGACCGTACAGAGAGCTCAGATCCCACTGGGGAAATGGCCAAGACTGAAATAAAAGCTGTAAGCAGAGCACTAAATTAACATTGAGATTCCTGGTGGCCAAGGCAAAGCTGTTTTCTGCCTCCAAGTATTTGGCTATAACGAAGTCAACTATTCTCCAGGCCTTGGAAGAGACACAAGTTATAATTATCTGCCACTTTTTTTCTCCCTGGGCCCCAAGGACTTAGCTCTAATCTTAGCCAGCTCCCGAGGTATCTCTAGAAATGGTCCCCGAGCCAAGGCAAAAGCAGCCTCACCCACCAGCCCCTCCCCCAACCCCAACCCAGATAATCCTCTCACCTCATCACTACCCTTGACACAGGTCCAGGCTCAGTCACAGCCTCAGTGTAAAATTCCTTCTGACCATTTCCAGAATCAGCCCTATGCTTAAGATTTGAGTGAGAAAGGGTCTCTGGTCCTCAGTCCTTCTGTGGAAAAACCCTGCTTGCCCTCGGTCACCTCTGGTTCCTCTGCTCTGGCACGGCTCTAAGCCCCAGTGGTCACACAGGGCCCCTGGGACAGGCTGTGGAGAGCGCAGGCACACAGCCCAGTCCCTGCCCGTTACAGCAGGTGTCCTTCTCTCCTGCAGGGCCAGACCGCCGGGACGCCTCTCGACTGAGTGGCCGGGACCCCTCCTCGTGGACGGTTGAGGATGTGATGCAGTTTGTCCGGGAAGCTGATCCCCAGTTTGGACCCCATGCTGACCTCTTTCGCAAACACGTAGGTGCCCCTGCCTGACCTCTCCTATATCCGCCGGGTGTCTTGCTCCTGCAGTTTATAGATTCTTAAAGGGCACAAGCGATATATTTGTTCCAAGTCCCTTGAAACTGAGCACAGGCGATCCCATACAAACTTAGAGACAGAGTCTTGGGTCCCAGACGGCCTTCACTGGGCACTGAACACTCCTTTAGTGTTGGATCTGATTCAGCCACACTCCTCCTGGATCCCAGGACAGGACTCTCCTCTTCTAGGAGCACTTGCTTTCCTCTCTACCTGCTGTGGTCTAAGGCCAAGGCCAGGTTAAAGAGTCCCTTGTTGTGTGGCCCCCAGCTCTCCAGCCTCATCAGAACCCCATCCTCTTATTTTGTCTGCTGTGAGCCCCAGCATCTTGTCAAGTGGCCATTTGCCCCTGTGGCCAGGAACTGCCAAGGACCCCCCTGCAGTGACCGAACTCCTGATTTGGGGCTCAAACCTGGTTCCCAGTGGCCCCTGCCGCTTGGTGCTGTTCTGCACTCTGGGTACTCAGAACAGCTCTGCTGCTTTCATGGGTCACCTACTCCTTCATGCCAGGTGGGCTGGAGAGTGCTCTTTGATCAGGCCTGCAGGTCTCACAGCTGCTCACCAAGTGCTTGCTTTGTGTGTGGCTCATGAGGAGGGCTCCCTGCTGCCCAGGAAGGAAGGTGACTTTCCAAATAGCCCTTGAGGGTCAATACAGAAATAGTCTGTGATGAGTGACAAGGACACTGACTGGGGAGGCTTCCTGGGAAGATTTAGGATTGAGCTTGATCTCGGAGGTTTGGAAGGGCAGGGAGGGCTGCCTCTCGGGCAGTAGAGAAAGGAGATTCCTACAAACATGTATGAAGAGCTTAACCTGGGGGGTTCACTGGTGATGCTGGAGAGGGGTGGTTAGAGACAGAGGTGGGGAGAACGGGCAGGCTTCAGTGTCACAGCAGGTTCACAGGGCTCCGTGTGGTTGGCACCTCCCCGGAGGGTCTTTGGTGAGAACCTGGGTGGACAGACCACCCAGGCCTCTGATGGCGCCCCCCTCCTTCCCCCAGGAGATCGATGGCAAGGCCCTGCTCCTGCTGCGCAGTGACACGATGATGAAGTACATGGGCCTGAAGCTGGGGCCTGCGCTCAAGCTCTGCTACCACATTGACCGGCTGAAGCAGGGCAAGTTCTGAGCAGGGCAGTGCAGCCTGGACGGCCGAGGGGTCCAGCAGAGGGGGCTCTTCTCCCGGGAGGGAGGGCCGTCAGGCACCTCAGCAGGGTCCGAGGCCACCTCAGGACTCCAGGAGGCTGTGTGGAGCCACCCCACTGCCCCCTCCTGCCATGAGATGTCCTTCCATGAAGGACCGAGGAGCGGGGTGTGCGGCCCAGGCACTGCTCTTCCCTTCAGCCCCGTCTTGGCTCTGAGGCCCCGTGTATTTATTTCTCAAGCCTGGGTGGCCTCCCTCCAGGAGTTTAGACTGAACACCTTCCAGGTGATGGAGGAAGGGGCTGAGCTGTGAGGTCTCGAAAGATGGGGCCCTGAAGCAACACTCGCACCGGGTTCGGCCTGGTGGTGTGGCTCCCACAGCTCCTGCCTTCTCCTCATGAGATCCACAGATCCCAAACTCATGGTGCAAACCTCTACCTTTTTTAAAAAGAGATCTTTTCTTATTATTAATTTATTGTTTCTGGCACTTGGGCAAGCCCTCCAGTTCATACCCCTCTTGCTCCAGACACTGGTTTCAGGAGGAGGGCGACCACACTGCCCTGGCCCCACACAGGCCCTCTCCAGAGAGCTGTGGCCCCTTCTCAGAGGACATTACCCAGGCACTTTCTCCGTGGGATGGACAGCCCGACCAAGCCTCGACCACGTCATTCAGCACAGGGGGGAGAGGGCCCCTGTCATCTGCCCTCTCTCCCTCCACCAGGCCTCTGCAGCCCCGGCCTCACCTGTGGGAACAGGAGTTCCTGCCCTGCACTGCCCCGCCACAGCTCCTTGCCCTGGCCAGAATTGCTGCCAAAGAAGGTTGGGCCCAGTGTTTTAAGCCAAGAAGGCCCTAAGATGGATGGGAGAGAACGGTCTCTAGGCTGGAGTCTGGTTGCACCCACTCCACTGTCCACAGGCTTCTTTTGTAAGCAGGTCAGCAGTCCAGCTGCCCCCGCTGCCATCTGGACTTATTTTATGTCAATTTGTTTATAAATAAAAAACCATATAGATGCCAGTGTCTTTGCAATCAGTCGCCAGAGAAATCAGTATGCCTCCAAAGGGCAGGTCACTCCCCTTGCCTTTATCGTAGCTCCTTGTTTTTATTTATGAGGAAACTTGGGCAGGATGCTCCCTGAGTTCATGTGACTCCAGCAGTCCCTAAAGAACAGGCTGTCTGCCAGAGGCCCGCTGGGGCCCCGCCTTGGTAGCCCCTGGGGAGCCAGTGTGCCGTCCATGCTCTGCCCTCAAAGGGCTTTGCCCTGGTGCAGCAGACAGCAACGAGCACGGCAGCCCTGGAAAGCCCGAGCAGAAGGGACAGCGTTAGGGTCAGCAGCTGCAGCGACCCTCCGTGGCAGGGGTGGGGAGATGCAGGCTAGCCTGGCCTTGTGCCGTCCAGGGGCCAGGAACTCCAGTCCAGCCCCTCCCTGTTTATAAAGGGGCCATAGCACAGTGCAGGGTACCTGATAAGAGGAACACATCATTGTATACCCCACACACTGCTCTGTGTGAATTAGAATGACCCCATTTAATTTTCACAGCTGCTGCTGCTGCTAAGTCACTTCAGTCGTGTCCAACTCTGTGCGACCCCACAGATGGCAGCCCACCAGGCTCCCCCGTCCCTGGGATTCTCCAGGCAAGAATACTGGAGTGGGTTGCCATTTCCTTCTCTAATGCATGAAAGTGAAAAGTGAAAGTGAAGACGTTCAGTCATGTCCAACTCTTAGCAACCCCATGGACCGCAGCCTACCAGGCTCCTCTGTCCATGGGATTGTCCAAGCAAGAGTATGGAGTGGGTTGCCATTGCCTTCTCCAAATCTTCGCTGCAGACCCACTTTATAGATGAGGAAACTTAAGCTCTGATCATGTGGGCAGGAACTGCCAAAGTAGGCATTTAAAGCCAAGTAATCTGACTCCAAGGCCAAGGTCCCAGCCAGTGCAGCTATTTTTTTGTGATGCTTTGGGTGGGTCCTTTCCCGTCTTTAGGCCCGTTTGGCTATGGGGGGGGGGGGGGTTAGATAAGACTTGTAAGGATCATACCAGCCCTCACCAGTGACTGGTTCCAACATGGTCTTTTCCAGTTGGCCACTGTGAGATTATAACCTTGGGCCCCCTGCAGCAGTCAGGGTCAGGGCTGCTGAACCAGAATAAGCCCATTTTCCACAGATTCCCAGGCCTGTGTTCAGTGGGCTTTACAGTTCATTCAGGGTACTCCCAAAGAGGGCCTTCCTGGGCCCTGATGATGAACTTTTGAATGTGAGAGTAACACCAGCATACGCAGGCAGGCCAGACATGCTGCCAGTCCTCGCTTGTGGAGCAAGCTGGTTCCCACCCGCCCTGCCCCTTGTCAGCTCATCAGGGAACACTATTTAAGGACTTCTTATGCTAAGTTATTTATGTACATTAGCTCTCTTAAACCTCACCACATCTCAGAGATAGCCACCATATTCCCCCATGTTAAAGATGAGGAAACTGAAGCTTAGAGAGGTGGAGTTATTTGCCCCAAATTCCATAGCTAATGAAGGGTGTGAGACATCATACTGCCTGCAACACCCACCAGGTGGCTTTTGTCTTAGATCGCACTCACCATGCAGACTACACAGGCTCCGGCCGGGCCTTTGTAGGCAGTCACTTTGAAGACTATCAGACCACAACTGCTGCCAGCAGGATGGTAAGAAGCAGGCCTTTTCGGTGGGGTAGTCATTACAGAGCCCACAGTCACCCAGGACTGTCATTTGTTGTCCAGGCTGCAGCTCAGGTGTAAGGGAGTAAGACATGCCAGGGAGAAGTGGGGCTCACCTTGGCTTAGAAGCATCACGCCCCAGGGCAGCCAGTGACTCCCCAGTGCCATCGGCACAGCTTCCAGGTCCCTGGGCAGGACGTGCCTCCTGAGTCCCGGCCCTTAGGAAGCCCCACAGGAGGATGTGTACAGTCCATGCGCTGCACTCCTAGACCAGGTGCCTTACAGCCAGGGGGCAGTTCTACTATAAGCACTATTTCCTTGAAATGGTCGACATTCCATTTTTATCTGGTTGCCAAGGGAACAGAACCAGAAAGGTAACCAGATGTCATATTCTGCAGGAGGAGAGAGGATTTGTTACCCTTTCACTTGTGGTGCCCTAGCCTCTAGGGTCAGAATTGAATTTCATTTAAGAGAAACGACAACCAAGAAACCCAGCCTAAACTTTTGAAACTATTTCACAAAGCCAAGCTTTCTAATAGTGACCCAGTCATCCAAAGAAGCTGAAGCGGTCTCTGGCAGGTGAGACCACACCACTGACCCCGACAGCACAGCCACCCATGGAGCGGGAAGGCATATGGGAAAGCGAGACTGAGCACAGAGACCTCCCGAAAGCAGCTTCCCAAGCCCACCCTCATCGCCACGACAAGGAGAGACGTTGACTCCGGTGCTGAGGAACATGAGGAAAGGAAAACGCAGGCTCTTCAGGAGAGAAGAGTCCGACCCCACTTAGTGATGACTCCTTCGAGAACCTCTATGCCCTGTCCCACTCCCCACCTGCCAGCCACATCACAGCCTGCGTTCCTGGGCTCTGCTCTGTCTTGTCCAGGCCATGAGTCCTGAGCAGAAGTGTCCGCACCACCCCCTTTGGTGTTCTGTGGAACAGCCTGAGGCCCTTCTCTGGGCTGTGGCACTGGTGGGCCCGGTAGACACACTGTTTCTGCCCTCATGCGCAGTGCCATGACCCCTTCTCAGAAGAGGCACAGGTGACTTGTCGCTCATCTTTACAACCAGGGCTGAAAGAGTGGAAATCGTTCTCTGCTTGAGGGACTCCAGACACTCTCTCCTCCCTCTATCATCCCTCTGCTTTTTGCAGTCTCCTTTAACTTAAGGGCCCAAGTCACCCCATCCCACCAGGGAAGCTCCACAGCTGGAAACCTGCAGGCCAAGTGAGAGAATTACGTATTTGTACTTGGCCTGCAACAACCAAAGCCGCTGAGGATGGTTCTGGGGGCCAGCGCCCAGTAGGTCCCAGGGTATAGGCACCAGGGCCGAGATACCTTTGGGCTGTGGGCCGACCCTGTCAGAGGGCGGGCAGGGATGCACCAGCCACTGGTACGCGAGGGAGGAGTCAAGGCAGACTGGAGTGTTCCTGGGGCCAAAGGGCGAAGGCTGCATCTGTCTACACCCTGCCCTCCCCTGAGTCCCAGAGTTTGCTCTCCTGGCATCCTGTCCTCTCCAGCATAAGGCTGAGCTCAGTCCCCTCCCGCACCCCAGCCCCTGCCCCTCAGCTGGGGTTCCTAGGCAGCTTGCTCAGACACCCATGCTTTTGTGGTGTCAGGGATCCCAGGCACGGGCGCCACCCAGTGGACACTCTCCAGATAATGTGAGAAGAGCCCTATCTACTGCCTCCCTCTGCCCCTCATCTTTGGGTCCACCTCACATTCTTAAATTTAAATTCAAGAAGTCTTTTACCTCCGGTGCCAAGGAGGGTTGTCAGTAAGGTCACAGACATCCAGTAGGAGGACTGAAAGGAGCTGCTTGTTCCACAACACTGAACTCACGTCTGCCACCACCTAGCTCTTACAAAGCCTGGGGTGCTGTAAATAACCCAGTTACAATGCAGTGCATTTCAGTATTTAAAATATCATTTTGCAAATGTATTTAGTGCTTACAATGAAAGTTTTTATCCCCCTGGCCAAAAAAAGATGGAACTGATGTTCAACTCACATAAGGTTAACAGAGCCCAGGGAAATATGTAATACAATCATTTAAAGAGATTTCCAGTAAGAATGGGGAAAGATTTGGCACTGAAATCTGTCTGGGAAATTTCATGCCAAACAGCTGGTTGATAGTGAGGCCCCTGGAGAAGGATGTTACGTTCACGTTGGTTCTCTGGTACATGTCTCATCTGTCAGGGCACCTCTCCTGGCCCGCTGTCAGTCTCTGCCTAATTCAACATGGCTTGAGTTAACAGCCTAGAATCAGCCACAGCCCCCCTTGTATGCTTTCTGTGAGAACAGCTCATGATGGCAGAGTCTAGAAAGGCCTGAAGAGGACGACCCCGGAGAGCTTAGAGCTGTTACCCCATAATTCTCGGCATGGATGCAGAGGCCAGGCATGGATTCAGAGGCCAGGCAGAACTGGCTGCAGGGTCCCTCCCCAGAGCCTCACAGTACCACCTCGCAGGGCCTGGGGCCTCTTCCTTGCCCCCACACCACAGTTGCCTTGCTTAGGTTCCCCACCCAAGCTTCTGCCTCAGTCCCGCAGGGAAATACAAATTCATTCGCATCTTCAGAACCGGCTGCTCAGAAGAGGAGGTCAACCTTTGCATCTGCCCTTGGACACCACCCTCCGCCCTGCACCCCATCGGGGCTTGCAGAAGCAGTGGGAAAGTGCTGCCTACATCTGCATAATGAAAAGCACTGTCACAGCCCCCACCCACCCAAGAACAGATTTCTGCATTAATAAAGACCTTGTATCACCCGAATCTTGGTACCTGTCAAAGAGCAGGTGGCAACCCTGTCCTTCAAGAGATGGCAATGCTTGACCTATTTCTCAGGGCTCTTCAGGACAGGAACCATCTCTGCAGCCCTGGAACCAACTGCATTCTGATCCCTGCTCAGGGAGCCTGGGATTGGTAACTGAGGTGGGAGGTGAGGCCCGGTGTGAGCACGAGGGCCTGGAGAGACCTGGCAGAGGGAGGAAGTGTGTCTTTAGCCCCTGGATTCTAGGAGCTGTCTGGAAGGAGCCCCCCACCAAGCTGCACGGGACATCTGTCTACATGGGGGTGTGGCGTCAGGGAGAAGTGTTCCTGTTCCCCTTCATGGCCTGCCTGCTGGAGGCATTGTCAACTCTCCTGAGCTCACAGAGGTGGCTGCACAGGCCCCGCCCACTTCCCACAGCCCTGGCTTCCCCTCCTGAGCCAAGCCTCTAAGCGCCCTGGAGAGCTGCTGGCCAGGGGTCAGGGGTCTGTGGGAGCTGAGGGCTGGCACCTCCCACACTCCCCCAGGAACCATCAGGACATGAGGGTCATAGGCCTTCCTCTTCCCCCTATTCCCATTTGCCCTGAATGTCCCCACTCCAGCAGTGGCGGCCCCCAGACCCTGACTGCCTTAAGGATCCAATCTGAAAAGATGCAGGCCAGCCGTACCTGCCACAGAGACCGGAGGCTGGGTGTGTGTGGGTGAGTGGAGGGGCTGGTGTGTGCACAGCTCAGGAGCAGGGTCCCTGGCCTAGTGAGAGGTGGTGGGGGACGGACCCAAGGGCCCAGCACTGACCCTTCCTCGCTTCTGCTCCCTGGACCCAAACCAGAGGATTTGGTCTAGACAAGCCTCCTTACATGTATATATGCAAACGCTGTTGTTCTGTGAGGGGCCATAGCTTCCATCAGTATACCCAAAGCATAAGAACCTCTCTCTTAACCCTCTGACCCAGCCTGACCCCTTCAGAGCCTCTGCTGGGCTCACACCAGCTTCAGAGTAGGCAAGAAGCCTAGGGTGTCCGTGACTAATCCTCAGAGCCCTGGGTTAACGCCCCAGCCTCGGGCTTCCTGAGGGAAGACGGGCCCGCTGGGGCCAATGACAGGATACGGGGGCCCTTCAGAGACCTGAGTTCTGCCTCTGCCCCCTTTGGTCGTATCCTCTCAGTCTTCCCTTCTGTGGAAATGGAGCAGCAGGCGCACACGCTCTTGGCTGGCTCAGCTCTGACTCCCCTCTTCCCTGTCCTAGGCCTTGGGTGGGTGGCAGGGCCCCTCCTGCTGGCCCTCTGCCCACCCTCTCTCTCTCTGGCCCTCCTCAGCCCCTCTCAATCTCTGAACCTCCCCGGAGCCTCGGCCCCCCCCGAGTCCCCTGGGAGGCCCCGGGCCAGGCTGAGAGCCCAGGGCCCTGAGAGGAGCAGCCAGCAGTGAGGAATCCTAGAAGCCCCTCCAGAGGAGGCCCCTCCACCCCCGCCACGGAGCCCCCAGGCAAGCAGCCCCTGCGGGAGCTTCCCCCAGAAGATCCCCCTGAGGACTCGGGTGCCGAGGCAGCTCCCAGCAGGCATGTCCTCTACGTGGGCCACCTGAACCATCAGCTCTCCGTGCCGGTCCTCACCTGCCTGCTGAGAGACGCCCTGGAGCGGCTCGAGCTGCCTGTGGCGCGAGAGCACATCGAGGTCGTGCGGCAGCCACGCCAGGCCTACGCGCTGGTGCAGGTGGCCACCCCCAAGGACACCCTGGCCTCCCTGGCCCGGCGCCTGCACACGGCCTGGGGGCAGCACCAGATCATCAAGGAACTGGTGGCCCGCGGGAAGGAGCTGGTGCTGGGTGATGACCGGGAGCCTTCAAACCGCCGAGAGGTAAGCCAGGCTGCCCCCAGCAGGCAGCCCGCCAGCCCCAGAGCCTCCCTCGGGAGAGGTCTGGATGTGAATGGCCTTGCCCGGTGGGCATGAGGGGTGTCTTCAAGGAACTGGTGACAAATTGGCAATCTTGGTCCCAGAGGGACACTGACCCTTGGAGCTTGCCTCCAGTCTGGAAGCAGGTAAAAGAAGGCCTGAGTAGCAGACCTTCCCTGCACCCATCTACAGCCAGCATGTGGGTCCGGCCAGGCCAGGCCCAAGCATATATAGGGGTCCTGACCTTCTTGGCTGAGCCTTCTTGGCTGACCTTGTCATCCATTCAGTTGACAGACACCTGTTCCAGCAGGCAGCGCAGCGGAGAGCAGGGCTTGACCCTGCCCTCAGGGAGCCCTGCTTCTATGAGCAGAGTCAGACCCTCCCGGGGCGGTAGATGGGGAGGCAGCCTAGAGCAGGAGGAGGACCCAGGAAGGTCCTCACTGATCTCTGAGGACAGATTCCCCAGGGAGTAAAACCCAGGCTGGGGCTTAGGCAATGGGACCAACTCCGTGGAAGGACATCCCTAGCAGAAGGATGGGGCACATACCAGGGGCCCGGTGAGGGTGGCGGCATTGGCAGGATGGCCGGTGGCTGCCTGGGGGGACTGACAAAGAAAATCAAGCCGGAGGGGAGGGCTGTGAGACTACACCAGTGCCAGCAAAAGTGGGTTTTTGTGGGGGAGGAGGGAACAGTCAACTCACTTTTGAGGTGGTGGTAGGCTGGTGATCTTGAATTGCCCTCCTTCTTGAATTGAATTTTGAATTCTTGAACTGAATTTCCTTCTGGATGAAGGCTCCATGACATTGAAACTGTTGCAGAGCTAAATGGGCTTACATTTCAAGACCTGTGGCCTGATGGCACGTTTATATGACAGTTGAGGCTTCTCTCAAGTCTCTGCTAAGCTTGTCTTCTCTGGGAGCTGCTGGAAGGGCTGGGACTGGCTCTCATCACCACATCCCAGCCCGCACTGAGCTCCCAGCCCTGGAAGCCGCTTTTGGAGGCTGGAAGGCAGCAGGGAACCAGGGAAAGGTTTTCAGGACAGAGTGACTGTGGGACTTGTATCTGGGGTCAGCGATAGAATGGATAGGACGAGGAGAACCTGGAGGCAGGGAGTCTGACAGTGAGACCCAGACCAGGGCAGTGACCCTGAGCAGGCTGCTCCCAGAGCCCTCACACAGAGCAGAAACCATGGAAGGGACTGGGGAAGGCCCAGGGATGGGAGAGATTCAGGAGGACTGGATCAGCCAGGCTTTCAGGGAGATTAGGAAGGGGGTGGGATCTTTGGGAGGCCCTCTCAATTCAGAGACCTGCAGCTGTGTCACAGGGGACCTCAGGGCGCTGAGGCATCTTCCAGAATGGTCCAACCCTGTGTCTCCGAGGCTAACGCAAAACCCAAGTGGGCAGAGAGTGGCTGCAGGTGCCCCAGCTCCCTGGAAAGGAGAGCTCCTCCCCACAAGCCTCCCATAGTTCACCTGGCAAGAGGGCGGAGCACTAGCTGCTTCAAACCCTTGATTCACAGGGTTTTCCACATGGGCCCCAGAATTGTGGGCAGAATTAGATCCCTCCGCGCGGGAGGGGCATCAGGATGCCCTGTGTGGGCTAAGCTGGGCTGGGCTGGGCCGGGGTGGCTTGGGTGGGTGCGGGGAGGGTGGAGGTGGGGGTTCTGGCCGCCTGTCCCTCCGGGTTGGCTCCTAACTCTTGCCAGGAGCATACACCCTGCCCTTGCCCCCACCCCCACTCCAGCAGGAGGAGGACTGTGGCCCCAGCCCCGGCCCGGTTCTGGGCTCCAGCCCTCAGCGAGCCAGGCCGGCCCAAGCCCTTCCTACCCGGGCACTGGGCCCGCAACGAGTCTCCCCCAGCAGGCCCAGCGGCACGCGCTCAGACAGCGCCATCACGCACCAAGGCATCCTGGGCCAGGAGCGCCTGTTCCAGGGCGCCTTCCTGGGCAACGAGACGCGCAACCTGGAGTTCAAGCGCGGCGGCGGCGAGTACCTGAGCCAGGCCTTCAAGCACCATCTGCGGCGCTACGTGTGCGCCTTCCTCAACAGTGAGGGCGGCAGCCTGCTGGTGGGCGTGGAGGACAGCGGCCTGGTGCAGGGCATCCGCTGCAGCCACCGCGACGAGGACCGCGTGCGCCTGCTGGTGGACTCCGTCCTGCAGGGCTTCAAGCCCCAGGTCTTCCCTGACGCCTACAAGCTCACCTTCATCCCTGTGGTCAGCGCCTCCACCACGGGCACCCCCCTCAAGGTGAGCCCTGCCCCCAGGCTGCCCGGGAGCCAGCGAGGCAGGACCGACGACGGGGCTGCCGGGGCTGCCGCACGCTTTCCGGTGCGGCGCCCGCAGAGCTGCCATTGCCCTTCCCAAGGTGATCCGCCTGAGCGTGCAGGCCCCCAAGGCCCAGGCCGAGCCGCAGCTCTACGAGACCGACCAGGGGGACGTGTTCCTGCGGCGGGACGGGAGCATCCAGGGCCCGCTGTCCGTCCGCGCCATCCAGGAGTGGTGCAGGCAGGTGGGTGGCCCAGGCCGGCCAGGCGGGGAGGGGGCTTCTCAGCCATTCACCAGGCAGCCCTGGGGCCATCAGGTTCCCCACCGGTGCCCCCACGGGGAGCGACAAGCCCATTGCATCCCAGGTTCCTCTGCAGTGTAACTGGAGGAGCAGGGAGCACAGTGTCAAAGCTTTAAGACAAACCGGAGAACTGTGTACCACACTGGGGGCAGGTCCTTAAGCTGGGGGTGAGTGCTTAAGTGAGTGCTGGACGCAGCCCCAGAGAAAAGCTTTCTCAGGAGGGGAACATCAGGCAACACAAAAACAGAAGAGGACCAGGGCTGACAGAAGGACTGGGCAAGAGGCTGCGGAGGACAAGTCACCCCAGAGTCTAGGAGGCTGGCAGGACTGTGTCCAAGACCCCAGGGCTGCCTTGGTCAGGGGACCTGGCTTCTCCACCGACCAGGCCCAGGGTGGTGCCCAGTGGCCTGGAGCAGGCACCACCCCCCCCACTCCCCGGCTCTCTAGGCCTTGCCGCCATCCCATCCCCGGTTCTCAGCCATCGTCAGCTCAGACCTGGCTTCTCCCGTGTCCCCTCAGAAGTGGATGGCCGAGCTGAGCAAGCTGGAGGACAGGCTGCAGGTGCTGACGGCCGAGAAGGAACAGCTCCAGCAGCAACTGCGGCAGCAGCAGCACAGGCCTGTCTCCTGCACCTGCTGTGTCTTGTGAGGGCCCAGCACCCCACCTGGAACATGCAGGGCTTTCCTGCTTGACCCCAGGTCCCCCCAGTAAAACCAGTCTGGGCTGCTCAGAGGTGGACGGGAACACTGCACTTTCTGGCTCCTACGACACCGTGCACACAGGCTGGTCCCCACATGTCAGTCCTGAGCAGACCCTGGGCTGTGTAGCTAAGAAACTGCTCTTAGAATGTGCCCTCCCCCCAAATCCCACCCCAAGGGGCCTTACTTTCAGAAAGAACTGGGCCAGCGCACTCCCTGGGCTGGGCTGGCAGGGACTGTCCTTCTCCCTGAAAGGCTCAGGTAGCCCTGGCTGGGATCTCTGAACTCCCAATGGCTAGGCAGGGCCAGAAAAGGATTTGTCTTGGGAAAGCCCCCCTGCAGATGGTGGCACATGGCTAACTGCAGTTACAGAGCCGAGAGACCACCCTGCAGCCCCTCCCCTGGTTGCTGGAATTTGGGACTAAAAGCTCTTTAATTACATGCACCCAGGCCAGAATGATTCTTTCTAGAACATTTGGCTGGTTGGATGCAACTTGGTCATGAGTCCCATGCCCAGCCCACCTCTGTCCAAGAGACTGAGCCAGCCCTGGGCTCCTCCCCACACAGAGCTGTGAGGAAAGGAGTCTGGATGGTTGGGGTCCAGTCCATCTCAGCTTGAAGACTGGGTGCTGTGCTTAGTCGTGTCTTGACTCTGCGGCCCCATGGACTGTAGCGCTCCTGCCAGGCTCCTCTGTCTGTGGGGATTCTCCAGGCAAGAATACTGGAGTGGGTTGTCATGCCCTCCTCCAGGGGATCTTCCCAACCCAGGGATTGAACCCAGGTCTCCTGCATTGCAGGCAGATTCTTTACCAGCTGAGCTGCCAGGGAAGCCCTGAAGAGCAGGTACCTTAGGGCAAATCTACAGGACAGTAGACAGGGCAGTTGTTGGTGCCCTGATTCTCTGCAGCACCTGCACAGGAAGGAGACGTCTGACTTCTACTCCGTGCACCCTCCAGCCACCAGAGAGGATTCCTGCTCTGGCTGTTTCCCCTGCCATCTCCACCAGCAGAGCCGGGGACACTGCAAATCCAAGGTCTGATCATGCCATGCTTGGATTCAAAGTCTTCCAAGAGCTCCCCATCTCATCAAGAGCACCACGGCCCTCAGAGGTGCTCCATGAAGCCAGACCCTGCCCAGATCACCAGGGATGAAGAGAAGGACAGGGAGTGGGGACAGGGAGTGGGCCTGGCTCCCTCCCCAAGGAGAAGTCCTGGGCACTGGGCGACCCACGCCAGGCGTGAAGGCAACCCTCCTGTGCCGTCTCCACTACAGCCCTCGGCCCTGGTACCATCCTTGTGGGGCTGGCGGGCCCCGGAAAGTCATTCTGGGGTTCCTTTTTCTAGGTTCTGTAAGCAGGCAGCACTTAACTGGTCAGCAGAGGCCCAAAGCAGGGGAGGGCACGAACCCCACGAGGTTTTGCAAACTGCCCACCAACCATGTCCTCACTGTTGTAGGGAGCTGCTGTCACCAACAGGCATCAGAGCCCTTAGTTTGGGGACTGGCTTTTATAAAAATGACTGAAGACTGATGGGACCACCAGACGGGAGAAGGGGTCAGAATTCACCCAGTCAGCCACACTCAGAGTTCCCAAACCAGTATGGAGTCCTCTGTAAGTGAAGAGGCCATAAGACTCGCCGACAGACAGAGGCAGCTGGGTTGGCCTGGGCCAGGGGGCTGTGCTCCCACACAGGCTCCTAGGCCTCCGCCGTGATGGTGGCCTTGGACTAGCGAGTGGAAGACAAGAGGGAGCCTGCTTCCTTCCTGGGTCTCCCTGATGGAGGAACCAGGCCAAATGGTGAGAAGCATTTTTCTCCCAACCCCCAACATCAACAAGCAAAGGCTACTGACCACTGATGAGCAGCCCAGCCTGAGCCCTGGCCTCAGCCTCAGACACACTGCAGAAGAGCCGGCTCACAAGCAAGTGTGCTTGGCAGCCAGAGGGCGGGTGGGTGGTCCCAGCGTCACCAATGTGCCATGAGGAGCATGGATTCAGGGTCTCGAATTTCACTTTGGAGGAGAACCCAAAGGATGATGACCCGCACTCAGAAGGCCGGGGCAGATGAAGACAGGCAGGCGGCTGCTGGTCTACACCCAGCAGAGGGACTGGCCGAACCTAAATTTGAAGTCTTTGGGGGAAATTCTGGTTCCTATTAGGCTCCCCTCAGTTTTTAAACAAACCTATCAGATCCCCCACCTCAGGCTGCCCCCTGGGGGCAGAGCCTGGCACCGAGAGTTCAGGGGTCACACGCGGGCCGGCACTGTGCTCCGACAGCTCCCATCTGGCCGTGACATGAAGAGCATGACAGACAAGGTGTGTCTCTTGCTCTGCATTATTTATTTCTTAAGTTAGAGTATACACCGAGTCCAGCCAGGATATAACAGGCACACAGCTCCGCCTGTTGTTACACCACATTAAGAAAATAGCTTTTCATACTGCATTCCAACCGGAGTAACACCATTCTGGAAGGAGACAGCCCCCTTGAGCAAAGCTGTCTACATAAGAGAGGGGTTTAGAAGGAGTGTCCCAAAAAGATCCTTTGTTCTTTGTTAAGTGACCCCTTGATGCAAGGAGTGATTCTCGAGGGGACTCACAGCCCGAGGACAGGGATTCAACACACTCAGATTTCAGGGAGACACAGAGTTCTCGCCGTCTCATGTGATGCCAGACTGTCCTGAGCAAATCCCAGCCGTGGCTGCCACAGAGAATCCCCAGCGCAGGGCCGAGCCGACGCTCTGTCTCGGGTTTCCCTCTTCCTCGTGGCAAGGGCTGCCCTTGGGTCCTGGCACCGGGTCGTGAGCACAGCTGGACTCGCCCCTCTGCACTCACCAGGCAACATGGCACACCCCGTATTAACAGCCTCAGGGGAAGGAACAGCTGCCCGCGCGAAGCCACAGGGACGCGGGGTGGCCGCAGGGGCTCTGTGACCGAGGGGTCCCCCGGCGCCCGGCCCTCACCCACTCCGCCCCGATGTCCTGCCTCTCATCCGATACTGCAGGACCGCAGAGGAGAGCGCGTGACCGTGCGGGAGCCGGTACACACGGCAGGACATCAAGTCACAGTCTCCCCGGATCCCTTCCCCCATAATAAAATAATCTTAATAAAAACATAATTTAAAGGAAGTGTCAAAAGCTGAGTGTAAAATCAAAGCTGTAAACTCTTGAAGTCCAAAGGCTCTCTTCAAGGATTATCCCTGTTTAAAAAAAAAAATTGAGCAATTAATTATAGGATGCATGTTAAAATAGAAAAGTGAGGATTTGTAGCCAGCTGCTGTGGTAAACTGCCTGGTTTTCATTAAGGACCAGTATTAGGAGCCTAACTTGAATCATGAGAAGCTAAATTTCAGATTCCTACGGAATCACATGGACTCCACCTCTGCCCCGACACAAGCAGGCTTTTCCACCGCGCCAGCCTTCTCACGGTGCCACTCACAGGGGATCCCCACTTGGGGAGGCAGTTAGAAACTCCCTGTAACTGACCAGATACCGTTACAAAGGCTCCTTTCTTTCCAGGGCAGTTACTTAGATGATCAGATTGCCTACAGCAAACTATCTGGTGAAGATTAATGAATACATGGGGGCTAAATGCTCACCTGGCAGAGAAGGCAACCAACTACCCCCCTCCTGATTCGGACCTCCTCCTCACGCCTGCCCACGTGGCTACAGTCATCACAGGCCAAGTGGCTGCTCAGCACGACCATGTGCCCATGGGACCACACCTGCCAGTGGAGAGGTCCCCTGGTGGGGAAGGCAAGGTGTGCAGGACTCGGGGAGGCCACCTTCCCATGCCTGAGGCAGGATCTCAGCTTCCCTGTGGGGGTCTCCCTGCACACCCCTGGTTCTCCTTTAGACCCCCCAGACACCCGGCTGACACCCCAGCCCCCTCTGAGCAGGTATTTCTGCCAAGCGTTCATGCATTTAGCTTCATGGGATTTTATACAATTCTCGGCAGCTGCCCACAGCCACTACTTTATAAAAACTTTCCAACTGGTCACAAAAGCCAAACATTCCAAGTTAGTTCAATAACTGCTCTGATTTTAATGGATTTCCAGAATAAGCAATCAACACAAAAGTGTTGTATGTTTTGGTTTTAAAGCACTTCCTGGTGAAAACTTAAGGGTCTGCAGAAATGACACCATGTTGTCACGCCTGTCACCTCCTTCAAGATCTCCAAGTTTATGACTACATGAAATAACATGGCTCTAAGAATCCCGTTCCCCCAGATTAGGTCAGATTGGCACCTGAAAGCAGTAATCAGCAAGACGACAACTGCCCCGTGCCTGGTGTAGCCCCCACTGGAGTCCCCAGAGCAGGCTGGGTAGATGCACTCTAACTGTGGGGGGCCACGTCCTCACCCATTTGATCCCCACAGTGACCTGACCACCTACATCCTCTGGCAGATACAATCTTTCAACACTAAACTTTCACAGATGCTCTTATAATTCTGGTGTCACCACCATTCAAAACAAAACAAGCTTCAAAGTATCACTTACGTTGTTACCATCAGTCATGATTTATTGAGGGAAACTTCAGTTCAGTGATTTCAGAGTCAGGGGAGCTGCTTCCACTTCTGTCACTGTAGGTGTCCCTGTAGAATTCAGATGGTTTATTCATCGGCTCCCACCAAACACTCGCTTTACTTCCCTGATTCTGCAGCCACCATGGCACCCACAGGGATGCTTGTCTGCTCACAGCAGAAATCACAGACGTTATATATTTAGCAGAAAGCTGCAGAGGGATTTTCTTCTTGTTATGAAAGATATACATTTGCTTTATATCTCAGTCATGATGGTTAGGGACCCACCAAGACAGAGTTGTTCCTGACAAACACAGCAGTGGCACATGAAATCCCCTCGGGCTGTGGCTGAGGCATTCCCCCCGCCACCACCTCCCCGTGAAAAAAACACAGTTCCCCACGGGCCACAGAGCCCGAGATGGGATCCTGGAGCCGAGGCACTGCAGAGCAGGGACGTGGCCACCATGCTGGGGGGCAAGGCCAGGGGCGGCACAGAAGCAGCCTGAGAAAACCCCAGGGAAGGAGAGGATGCTGTGTGTCGGCATGAGAAGCAGGGTCCCAGCAAGGCTCCCCGGTCCTGTGGCTTTGCTCATCACCGATGGTGTGGGGACGGCTCTCTGTAAGGAGTCAGTGACCTCCCAAGGGACTTGGGGAGCGTGACCTCACCTGGGTGAGAGCCTGCAGCCTTTCTGGAGGTAATGCGGGAGCCTCCCCACGGAGGCCAGGAGGAGACCAAAGTACGGTGGGGAAGGCTTGATAGGTCTGGACAGAAACTCAGGGTGATACTGCACTCCGACAAAAAAGGGATGATCTGAAACACAAGTGCAGAAGAGCCAGCTTCACCGTGTGTCCACATAACATGTGGAAGAGGGAAAAAAATCTTGAGTGATCCACATTTCTGCACACCCTAAAATGATCTGAAAACAACTCATCTGGAGCCTGGGTAGAGGCAATCACAAGGCACGGGAGATGTGACGCCCTCCACCTGCAGACGAAGGTGGGCCCTCCTCTCCGGGTTCTGCCATCCCAACCCTCACCCCCACACCCCGGCTCCCTGACTTGAACAGGACTGAGTCCTGCAGGTCACGCGAGATTAGACTCGGGTACC